AAATGCAGAAAAGAACAATTTACTTAAGAATTCCAATTAATAACTACGAAGAAAAAAATGCTTCATTTCTTTCCCCCAGGTCTAAGTTTGACTTAGCTAGCAGCTGTGGACAGTACTTTTAAATTGCACCTAATAATTTAAAATATACAAGGACTTTCCACAGTACTATACCACTTAGGGCAGAGGCAAAAAGGGGTCAGATGTAATGCTAGCAACAGGATGAGCTCCCACCTGTCTGTCAAAGAGAGTTCTGAGCTCATGGAAGGGAAGGATGGAAACAGAGCGCTGCCTTCAGAAAGGGGGTGCTGACGCAGCTGACCTAATGAAGGGTAACACAGTGGCTGCTATCACCTGCAGATAGTCCCTCTAAGCACGCCATGATGGCTCACTGCTATGCGATTGGCATTGCATTTTCCCCTCACTTTGCTGGTCCCCTGGCCAAAGCATTAGCAAGGAGAATGATGGAATGGTGACTCGGATGCCAAGAAGCAGTGTAGTGATCTCAAAATCCATCAGCATTTGCAAAATGTGCTCATGCACTTCGATGCTGTGTGCGATACCTATTCCAGCACGGGCTTTGAGCTCAGGTTTCCATGTGGTATGCTGAGGACCCCTCTGTCTGGATCTGATACAGCCTGGTGTATGATGTACGACACATACATCAGTGTCCTGTCTGTCACATATGACATGTGTGCTACCCGTGACGTAAGAATTTCCAGAAGGGGACATGCAAAGGGGCCTCATCTCAGCAAAAGCTGTTAGAGGATGGTTCCTGGATATTCACGTCCTCTGTCAAGATGCGTGACTGTGGGAAGACTTAGCCAAAGATAGGTTTTTTGGACTTTATCCTGTAAAGGTGAAGAGATTCAGTGGAACCCCATCTTCTGGGTAAGTGCTAACACCAATCACGTACATCCCTTTGGTGTCAGAAACGTACATGGGAATTTGCAAAAAGCTGCACTGGCATACTTAGATTAAAAAGAGAAGAAAACACGTAGCAGTTACAGAAGTGTAATCACTGAAGCTGTTTTCCAAGGCATCAAAAAACCCAAAAGTATGAAAAAAGAACATCTTTGGGACTTTGTGTAAGGAAGCACCCACAGACTCCTGCAAATGCAGATTGTCTTTCCAGACCCCTGAAGAAATGCAGGTAACAGGAAGTTAACACACAGACTGGCCTTTGTCCTCTGCTGCCAGAAGGGCAAGAGGGCGTCTGCATAACAGAATACTTTTGTTCTGCCATGTCACTGCTCCCCAGATAGACTGAGTTATTGGCGTACGTAAAACTAATAACTATAAATTGTTATGGCTGGTGCTTGCAGAATTGCAGCAGTAGACCTTTGAGGAGAAAAAGACATGAGGACTTTTCTGATTCACGTATTCCTAACAGATTTTTTTCAAAAGTTCTTATTGCAAAAAGGTATACCTACCTCCATCACATTTTAACCAGATCCACACTACACTTAACTTGGAGTAGTGCTATTACTGGTTATATATACTCTGCAAGAAATGCCACCTGAGTTTTGAATCTGGAGGTAAGTTTCAAGAATAGCAGCTATGACATGCCAAGCACTTGGTAAGCTTGGCAGAAGGATCTGGAGCAGTCAAAAACCAATAGACATACAACCTAAATGCTCAGGCACCTAGGTACTTTAAAAAGTATTTGCTAGAAGATGTGAGGTCACCATTAGGAAGCAGCAGAGGAAAACACCTCTGTTGGTCGATTGATGGAAGAAGTTTGGACTACCAGTGTGATGCAGGGGCAACACTGGGAGGGATCAGTAGAGCTGGGGAAGTGTAAATATTAATGTGAATGGCGATGGCAAGACCTTGCCTGGCGGCTCATGGCTTAGACAGGTGTACTCTTCGCTGGGTAAAAAACTGGCTGGATGGCCGGGCCCAGAGAGTTGTGGTGAACTGAGTTCAATCCAGTTGGTGGCTGGTCATGAGCGGTGTTCCCCAGGGCTCAGTTTTGGGGCCAGTCTTGTTCGATATCTTTATCAATGATCTGGATGAGGGGATTGAGTGCACCCTCAGTAAGTTTGCAGATTACACCAAGTTGGGTGGGAGTGTTGATCTGCTTGAGGTAGGAAGGCTCTGCAGAGGGACCTGAACAGGCTGGATCAATGGGCCGAGGCCAACTGTATGAGATTCAACAAGGCCAAGTGCCGGGTCCTGCACTTTGGCCACAACAACCCCATACAACGCTACAGTTGGCTGAACATGAGCTGGCAGTGTGCCCAGGTGGCCAAGAAGGCCAATGGCATCCTGGCCTGTATCAGAAATAGTGT